CATTTTTACTCCTAACACAAATATTCTCAGCAATTGTTTGTTTGCTTGTTTGTCTGAGACAGGGTCTCATGCCAACCAGGTTGGCCTTGAACTCCCTATGTAGCCAAGGCTGACCTTGATCCTGATCCTCCTGCTTCCACATCTTGGGTGCTGGAATTACAAGTCTGTGCTTGGCTTCAATCAGATTCTGACTATGGTGTCTCACACCTCTGAGTCTCACTCACACTGAGTCACTCAACAGTACTGTTTGTATCCCAGGGGAGTGAATCCAGGTGTACCGGGGAATAGAACGGAAAGCAGGTCTTTGATTTTGCAAACCTGCCGCAGATCTGTGCACAATCCATCATTTTGCTAAGCGGAAGATGGGTGCAAGCTATGGTGGGTGTTTCAGTTAGGGTTTCTATTGCCATGACCAAAAGCAAGTTGGGGAGGAAAGTTTATTTGGCTGTTGGTCTGATGCTTGTATTTTGATGCTAATTACTGGCCCTCAAGATCTGGTTACTGCCTAGATAAACCTATCCTTCTTTCGTAAACCTGCCTAAGACATTATACCTCATTGGTTGATTAAAGGCCTTAAGCCTGGGCAGGGCAGAATGGAGTAGGTGCGGCTACAGTTCCTGGGCTTTGGGTTCAAGAGAACCCAAAGATACAGGGAGACAGGAGAGAGAAGGAAGGATAACAGAAAGGGTTATCATGGAGAAGAAAACACGTGAGCTGGGAGGAAGGACTCCAAGGATGGCATGGATGGGGGGAAAAAAAAACACCAAATAAAAGCAAGTATTTATAAGAGTGTGGATGGCATGCCAGTTAAGGATGATTAAGCGGGATGGCAGTGGAGGGGGGCTGGGAGGTGGATGGTGAGGTTACTGAGACTGTGTAGATTTTATTATCTGGACAGCCAAGGTGTTTTAAGGCAACTGTAAAATTTAGCAGGTCTGTGTTTTATGAATTGTGATACTGGGTTAAGTAATACCGCCGTAATGATTATAGGACTAGGAATAATAAACATAGCCCAACACTCATTTTTAGCTGCAATGACGTTTGGCTTACACTTCCACATTGTAGCCCATCACTGAAGGAAGTCAGGACAGGAACTCAAACAGGGCAGGAACCTGGAGGCAGGAGCTGATGCAGAGGGCATGGAAGGTGCTGCTCGCTGGTGTGCCCACCATGGCCTGCTGAACCTGCGTTCTTATAGATCTAGGACCACCAGCCTAGGGCCGCACTGCCCACAGCACAGTCCTCTCACGTCCATCACTAACGAGAGTGCAGCTGAGCAGTGGCGACAGGCGTTTAATCCTGGAACTCAGGAAGCCAAGGCAGGAGGATCTCTGAGTTGGAGGCCAGCTTGGTCTACAGAGTTCCAGGACAGCCAGGAATACAAAGAGAAACCCTGTCTCAAAGGAGGAGGAAGGAAGGAAGGATGGAGGGAAAGAAGGCAGGCAGGCAGGCAGAGGCACCTGTCAATTGAAGTTCCCTGCTTTCGGATGACTCTAGCTTGTTTCTAGTTGATATAAAACTAGCCAGGACAGCAGTGGGGGGAGGGGCTTAGAAGTCCAAGAATGGCCCCCTGTTTCTGTCATTGTTCCCCTGGGTAATCAGAAGCTCCCCAAAATCCAGCAGCTACAATGGACAGCAGAGTCACACACAATATTAAAGTAGCTGAGGACAGCTTAAGTGCCAGCCAGAGGCTCTAGAAGCTGGGAAGGGGACACTTTCTGGGGAACAGAGAAGCGCACCCATGGATAGGGCAAGGAATGAGGGGTAATCCACCCCTGAGCTACCTTCATCTTATGTACAAGGCCAGCAAGCTGGGGAGATCCAGGAGAGGACCAAGGGCTGAGCTAGGACCACATCAGTGGTATGGCAGGAGGTGGCAGAGGGATGGGGGTGCAGAGTTTAAGAAGCCTGGGCATCAAATGCTAGGCCAGAGTGAAGTGGGCTGGGATTTTTGTCCTGTGGGTGCTGGAAGCCTTGGGAAAGCAGCAATGCTGTCATCTCTGGTATTAGAAGCCCAGGATGGAATGGGCAGTGGGTGGGGAATGCCATGGATGGGAAGGCCAGGGAGAAGGCTGGACTGAAGGTCCAGGAGGGACTGGATAAAGATCTGGGAGGGGGTCTTGCATAGGGCTCCCTCTAGGGCAGCCGGGGAGACAGGGTGGGGTGGGCGCTGGTGCCAAGCAGGGCTGTCCTGAGACTGGACCAGTGACAGCATTTCCAGAAGTCCAGAAGCCACCGTGCAGGGGCCAAGGCGCAGACAGCTCGGTGGCAGATAAGGCTGCAGTCTGGAGGACCCAGGAACTATCAGGGAGGCAAGGCTGCTGGAACCACTGGGGGAGTGTGGCTGAAGCAGGCTCGCAATCGGGCAGCACAAGTAAGCGTGCGTATGTGCCACGCAGGTTCAGATCTCACCCAGCGAGTCATCTGGCCCAGCGCCCTGAAGATAGCATGTGGTAAGGAAACATGCAGGTGCACAGGGCTCCTGCAGCACTGGCCGAGCATGCCCAGAGTCATCTGTGACTGTCTGCCAACAAAGCAAGCTACAGGCTTTTGCAAGACCATCCGCTGTTGCTGTTTGTGCTGGTGGCAGCTGCCTCCCACAGGACTGCAGAGACGGGGAGAGTGCGGAGCTGTGTGTGGCGCTACAGAGTCCCAATCCCTGGACAGCCCGGGCAGCGGCCTCTCAAGGCACCAGTAGGAACTGTGAGTGTAGCTAGGACGGGGCCCAGGGAGCCCGACTGATGCGGCAGCTAGAACACAGGAGCACTGGCTGCAAACAACCCGGAGGGAAGGGAAAGCCCCAGGTAGACACCACAGAGGCGTCCGCTGGGAAGACAAATCTGTCATCACTAGAACCTGCAAGGGAGGTCAGGGGACAACTTGAGGAAGTCGCTTATCTACCTCCACCACACGCCTCTCAGGGCTGAACTCAGGTCATCAGCGTTAGTGGCACCCTACCTGCGGAGCTATCCCACCAGCCCCAAACACGGGCGCATCTCCCACACCTGCCCACCCAGCCTGTCTCCCTCCCTCTCCTGTTATGCATTGTCCTTCTGGGTAATTTCACTTCTGATGATCTCTATGCAGTCTAGGAACCACAAATGAGAAGCTACATGATGTGCTTCTCAGCCAGGCTTAATTCATTTACACCAGCACCTTAGGTGCATCCATTTTCCTTTAAACAAGGCTTCATTCTTTGACTGAGAACTCCACTGTGTCTATTTATGTTTTCTCACCCACGTCCGTCATTGGTCACCAAGGATAATTCCACGATCTGCAGTCACTGGTGTAGGAGCTCCTCTGTGGAATGCCAACTGCCAGGACTTGAGAGGCGGGTCAGACCTAGCTGAAACCCTGTGGGCATTCTTCATCTTTGCTGTCTGTCAAGCTTTGAGGGAGACTACTCATTTCATGAGCTCACTACCCATTAAGCTGCTTTTAGTCTTAATTCTTTATATAGTCGGGATTATGTGGCAGTGCTGGAAACAGAACCCAGAACCTTCCTTACATATACTGGGCAAGTATCTGACCACCAAGCTACACCGCAGCTCAGAAGGTAACACCCTAAATTAGACAAAGCGTTGACATCTGCATAGCAAGTCTTCCAGAAAAAAATATTCTGGGCCTCTGTAGCAATCAAGAAATAGGTCAGCACAGAATGAAGACAGGAAGCCTAGCTTCGGCAGCTGTCATTCTCCTGGTCACCACGGAAGCTGGTGGGGTGCTGGGCCACCATTCCATGCAATAACTGTTAACTTCCAGGAATAGCAAGGGGATGAGGACCAGCCAAACCCCTGGGACCAAGGCCTTCTGTCACACTATGGTGGGTAGGGTCTGAGTACACACTGACAAGGGAGAGAGGCTGAGGACACGGAGGCTCGGGACAGTGGTGGGCATCACAAGGGAATGCCACTGTGAGCTGATGTTGAGATGGCAGGCCTTCCTGAGGTTCCCTGTTGCTGAACGGGTGAGACAGCTGACATTGTGCCAAACTGAAAAGCCCACACCTGGGTTTGGCCTGAGGGGAAGCTTTGGGAGGCCTTCATGAGACTGCAACACTGTGTCATGGTGCGAAGGTGAAATATCCCAGGCACTCATGTCCCAGCCGGTGCTGTTCAGAGGGGCTGCAGAACCCAGCTGGAGAAAGCAGACCTGGAAGGGGGGCCTTCGCAGGTGCTGCCTGACCCAGACTGTTTCCCTCGGCTTCCTGTCTACCATGATGAGCGGCCTCCATCACAGTCTGGCTTGCATGGACTAGAAAGCAACCCTGTGAGGCCAACCCAAGGAGCCAACCCTGTAAAGCCATGGGCCTAGCCAGTCCGTCCTCCCTTCGGCTGCTACAGTCACTAGACTGAGGAAGCTGAACTCACAGGGCAGGTTCAAAGTGCAGAGAACAGCCTTGGTTTTGGTTTTGTCGTTCTGGAGGCAAGAGTCTCACATAGCTCAGAGTGGCTTCAAACTTGCTAAATAGCCAAGCAACAAATACCTTGAACTTGTGATCCTCCTGCCTCTACTCCCTGAATGCTGCTGAGGAGTATGTGCCACAATGCACAGCCACTTCGGCACTGCTGGGGGTGAGGAAAACACTATCAACTGAAGTTCTTCGGGACGATGTCTGGCTATGTGCCTCAGGCAGCAACTGGGATGTTGGGATTCCAAATGACAAAGAATGCACTAACACATAAGCCCGGGTTACACGCTGGCCTCTCAGTGAGGGCCAGGCCCCAGGGCAGCCCTCGAGAACGAGGGGGTTGACAGGAGCCTGTGCCGCTGCCGTGCCTGCAAGTGTACACGCACCGGGAATAAACAGATGTGCCAGGAGGGCCAGGGACCAGCCTCTTCCTCCAGTCCGAAGGTGGCCTTGCTCACAGAGACTTCCCTCTGCCCCAGGAACGCCTCTGTAACGTGTCCTAAGAAAGTCATTCAAACATACTCCAGGCAAGTGACAACAGCCACGGGGACTACTTACAACCACAGAAGGCAGGAAGCAAGCTGAACGGTGGCTGTTTAGGGAACAGTTTAATCAACCGCCACACAACACGGCTGAGGCTGCACAGCAATCCCCATGCCACGGCCACGCACGTGCAAGAGCACGACCATGCCGAGCAGCTAGTTCAAAACTGGCTTTCCAAATGTGCACACACGTAGCTAGAGTGTGCACTCACAAAAGACAGACTAACAGCGAGGCCCACAATCCTCTCCCAGTGATGTACCCAGGGCGGACTATCCAGAGACACAAAGGGTAGCCATGGAGGCCACTGAGGTGTTCTGGGGCTCCAGCGAGGCGGCAAGGAGCACAGGATGCCACGTAAAGAGTGGGCTGGAGGCAGACCCAGCCACTAGCAGCAGGGGCCTCCTGGTCACATTTCCTTGGCAAAGAGCCTGGGCGTGATAGTGAGGGATGCACGGGGGTCTGGGGGTAAAGGCACAGAGGCTGGAGAGAGCTTGGCATGTTCCCAAACTGTATGGTGGGTGGGGGGAAGGGGCAAGGCTGGCGGGTATCTAGCAGAGGGACCCAGTGCCACAGGGTGGGACATATCTGTACAGCGAGCCAGTGGGCCTGAGGTGGCTACAAGGAGGTGCAGCCCAGCTCTCAGTCAACAGGGACACAGAGGGGCTCAGGGAGAGAATGAGGGACCTGCAAGAAGGCTAGAGGGCTCATGGGAAGAGACAGTCTTCCATGTTCATGCAATAGGGAGATGGAGAGACGTGAACTCCTTCTTGGGCTGACTAAGGACAAGAGGCTCTGGGGGCTCTGGGAGGCACAGCTGCTCACCGACCGCTGCCCCCGCCCCCACCGCCGCCCTGGCCCCCGGCGTCTGGCGCTCCTGACATCATGAGGAACAGCACAACTGGAATGATATACATCCACTGCGGGCAAAACAGGACAAAGAGACAGACAGAGAGGAAGGGAGGTAAGCGATGAGGCTGGCCTGGGGCAGGGGTCATGGAGGGCAGGGGCTGGGTCCCCTAGTCACTACAGGCAGGGCCAGGGCAGGGGCAGAGGGGACGGGCAGAGGGCAAGGCAGGCAGGGATCTGGGTCCTCACTTAGGCCTCCGTTGGCGCTGGTGCAGGCCCTGGGGCAGCAGGACGCAGGGCTGTGAGCAACACGGCCCCCCCCCAGGATGAGGTGCCACTGAGGAGGGAGGGAGGCAGGTCAGCAGCCTGGCCATGGCAAGGGCCAGCCCTCAAGGAAGTGCAGAGTCGCAAGGGCTGAGGTTTGCCAGGCCTCAGTCCCTACAGCAGGGGCTTCTGAGGCCCCTACGGGGCTGGCCTCAGCACCCTCCCACCTCTCCCTTGAGCGATGCTGGCCTTGCTGGGTCCTCACCTTGTTGGGGCTGGCACAAGCTTCCAGCCTCAAGGGATGGTAGACTACGGGCCACTGGCTCCGCACCGCAGCCCCATTTAGGAGCCTGGGTGTAGAGAGCTCAGGCCGCAGGCCGCCCTCCCCGGCTCCTCCGCACCTCCACCTGCGCCCCTGCACCTACTCCAGTGCAACCTGCCTCCAGGTCCTGGGCCTCCCATGGCTTCACCCATTCAAACTCCTTCAATTCTCTGGACACCGGGCTACCCCTTCCCTCCTGGCCCTCCTGCATGTGTGCCCACAGCTTTCCTGTCCACGCCCAGCTACATTACATACCACTTTGCTCCCAACCTGGGATGTCTGTGCCTGCAGATTCCCCAGCCCGGCCTAGGCGGTTGGCTTCTAGAGCCACTCAGCCCCAGACAGCTCAGGTGGGTCCACAGCCCTCAGCCTCCCACCAGAGGGACATACACAGGCTACCCGCATGGGGGGGTCAAGGAGCCACACTCACATATTTGGCAAAGAACGACTTCTGCTCCTGAGGGTTCTTGGCCTTCTGGGCCTGCTCCATCTCCAGGCGCTCAATGAAGGCCGCAGTCTCAGGGCTAAACACACAAGGGAAGGAACAAGGTGAGGGGCAGAGCCCCAGCACCAGGGCACCTGGGACAGCCAGTGGCCCCGGCCTCCCTCCAGCTCTTACCCCGGGGCGGTGCCTGGAGGCCGCAGCTGCACAGTAGTATTGAACAGCTCCAGGTCCTCGTCTTCCACCTCGGAGCCCCGGCAGCCCCCAGGGTACACTACCACTGACAGGCCCACCACGTTGCCAGCCACATCCACATGCAAAGTCAGCTGGTCAGAGAGGTGGGACTCCACCAGGGAGCACTGTGGGAGATGGGGGGGGGGCGTCAGGGAGCCACTGGGCTCTGCCGCACTCCCCCACTGATGCACAAGCACACTCCAGAGCCTGCACCCCATCTGTAGGCCCCTTGGACCATCACCAACTACAGGAGTTGAAGCTGAACAGTTCCTCAGGGCTCCCCCTCACCCCCCCCCCCCCGTGAGGGGCTCCATGAAGACTGGGGAGAGTGAGGCGGGACGGAGAAGGCCTATCTACGCCCTCATCGGTAACTTACCGCTGGAACAAAGGAGGACACGAAGCCACCAGCTTCTGAACCATCAAGTGCCCCAGGCCTCCTTGGCACCCGGACCCTGTAGAGGCCATTGACAGCAGCTACATCCTGCAGGTATGCAGAGCCCCGTGAACTGGAGTGCCAGCCACCATGCTGAGCAGGAGAAAGCTCCCCCAGCCTTGCCCTCACACACCTCCCACAACCCCTGGCCGACAAGAGTCTGCCCACGGGGGCGGCCGGGCAACCAAGGGAGGATAAAATAGCTGGGCTGCCCTAGCCCTGGCAGAAGAGCCACCTAAGATATCAGTGCCACATCAGCAGCAGTGTGCATCCAAGCACTCCTCAGCCTCCACCCAGCCACACCCGGCCCCCACCCCACACACACCTAAACACAGCGGCTGCAAGTGGCTGTCTGTGGGGGGGCAGCTAGGACAGAGAATCCCATGTAGACCAGGCAGAGAGGCAGACAGCAGGCCTCTTGCTGCCTTTCTGCACACAGAAGGCACCCAGGCACGGGGCCACTCCAGCAAGGCAAGTTTCCCTGCCACCTCACACTGGGCAGAAGTAAAACTGCAACATGGCAGCTTCTGGAGGGAGCAAGGACAGAGCCCACCGCAGACAAGGCTGAGACTTGAAAGGAGCCTCCTGTCTACTGACAGCTGCCATGGGCTTTCTCTTCCAAAGTCAGGAAGAGGAGGGGTGGCTGAGCTAAGTGCCAAGCCCATTCAGTCACAGGGGGCCTCACCCGGAGCCGGCCCCGCTCCTCCTCGCTGAGCTGCCGCTGTGTCACCGACAAGGTGCCATCTTGCTGGTTCCAGTGCAGTGAGCCACGCTTCTGGAAGTTGGCTCCATCACCTGTGGGGAACTGGGCTCAGTTATAATCGCCTACAGCATGACCTTCCCTAGCTCAGTGACAGGAGGCTTCTTCACCTATCTATTTGCTGCCCCAAAGGACAGCCCGGCCTGAGGCTCCGAAGGCCTGCACTGCCTTGACAAGATGACTCTGGAATGGCTAGAGAAACTCAGAGGGCCAACAGGGGCCTGAATGTCACAAGTGCCTGGCGCCTGATTCAATTAAGGGGCTGTGGGCAAAGCTGATAGCCCCTTTAGTCAGGCAGATGTTGCAGGGGGCCCCGCGCTGCCTTCCCTGAGAGAGGGGGCCTGTGGTGCTGCCCAGACCTCTTTGCAGCAAAATGGGCCAATGCTCCACCAATGCCTACAGGACTAGCAAGGCAGGACACAGGTCAGACGTTAGAGAAGTCTACTCTGACATTCCTTCTCCAGCTGACTGGGTCTGGAGTTGCTCCTATAGGTCTGGGGGCAAGGAGACAATTATATACACCTATACACACCCAGAGAGACGCTATATACACACAAACACGTATGTGTGTGTGTGTATAACACACATATATATATATGTAGGCATACGTGTGCACACAGATCTATACGTGTGATGTTAACTTGTATTCAGTTTCTGTAAAAGGAAACTATTGGAGCAAAGCAATAGTACAGATTATAGATGGAGATCCTGGTCAAAACAGAAAGCTGGCCACATGGTTAAAAGTAGTCAGGGCCTCTGAAGACTAGTTTTAATTGTCAAGTTGACACAATCTAGAATCACCAGGAAAGATTGGCAATGAGGGACTGTCTAGATCAAGTAGGGTTGTAGGTGTATCTGCGGGAGAATGTCTTGATGCCATTCACTGAGGGAGGAAGGCCCACCTACTGCGGGCTTGGGCTTGGGCCCTGAACTGTGTTAAGTAAAGAGAGGGGCTGAGCACAAGCGAGCACGTGTGCATTAGATTTCCCTGCTCTGGACTGCCAGCTGTTTGACGTTCCCGATCTGACCCCTACTATGATGACCCATGACCGGAATTATGAAAGAAAACTTTAAGGTGAAAACCACAAAAAGACCTTCAATATCTATATAAGCAAGCAAAAACTGGTCAGTTCTGCCAGGTTAGGGGGTTAAGGCAACTCAGCCAATCTTTGGGTATCTGTGTAGACAAGTTACAGAAGCCAAAAGACCAACGAGTCACATTGTAATAAGTAGACAGTCACAGCTGTACCTTTTTAGGGTCAAGTTTACTGGGAACCTTCCAGGCACTAGAGTTGATGCAGATGGGCGCCTGGGCCATCGTACATGTACATTTATCATAAGCACATGTAGACATGCGACCACACATGTGTAGATGTGTGCACACATGTACATACGTATGTGCGCAATGTATGTGTATATACAGATATACATATATGTGGGTAATTTCCATTAATGGAAGTGCAAGCCAGGTCCTTAGACAAGCCCAGCAAGCACTCAGAGTCAAGACGGGGCATCGGAAGACACCTGCTCTTCAACTGTCATTTTCTCTGCTCTCTCCTGCCACGGCGTGTGAAAAGCTGAAGTCCCAGTGAGCTCACCAATCTCGAATGAATGCTCCAGCAGCAATGCCACGGTCCCACAGCTCTCACCTTCTCGGCCATCAGCCCCAGCCTGCAGGAGAGAGAAGGGCCCCAAGTTCAGACCACTCAAGCTCTGGGTAGGGCAGAAGCCACTGACCCCAGGACAGAATGGCAGATTGAAGGACAAGCCTTGTCTTCACCCAATTACAGTTGCTTTCCCCAGGACTGACCCTCATGAATATTCATGTAGCAGATTTCCATACCACAAAAAAAAAAAAAAAAAAAAACCAACAAAGATGCTTAGCTGATACTTCTCAAGGCCCAGGTTGTTGTTTTTTTTGTTTTTTCAAAGTCTCACTGCATAGCTCAAGTTCATGATCCACTGCCTCCCAGTGCTGATACTACAGGCAAGCACCAGCTCGATCTACTCCCCAGGCCACTGCCAAGCCACAGGCACTGGCTTCCTTTGCACGTGTTAATACCCTGACCACTCGTATTGTCAAGAACTCCACCTCTCTCCAGTACAGCCTAAAACCTACACTTTTTTTTCCACGTTCTGAAACAAGAGACTGACTAAACCACTCCCAGGCTGGTCTAGACTCACCCCGCCTCAGCCTGCTGAGTGCTGGGATTACAGATAAACACCACCAGCAGCAGCTCAATTTTTTGTGTGTGGTTTTTCTTTTTTTTTTTTTTTTTTTAAGTTTTGTGGATGGGTGTTTGCTCCATGTACTGTGAACGCGTGGTGGGCCCCCAGGAACTGGAGTTAACAGTAGGTGGGTGTTAACGCCAGGTGGGTGTTAGGAATCTAACCCAGGCACTCCTGAAGAGCAACCAGTGCTCTTAACCCCCATTTCTCCAGCACCCTGTTTTTGGAGTTTTTCTGAAGCGGGGCTTTCGGTAGCCCATGCCCAAGCCTATGTGTTTGTTCTCTTGAGTTCAAGCTTCTCCTAACCAGGCACCCTACAGCACTCTGGCTCCTGCAGGACCCGGCTTCCTCTTGCATACTCAGAAGATAGGACTCCATCCCTGGAGCCCCGGCCTGCTTCTCTACCAAATCTTTATTATTTATTTATTGACTCAGGGCCTCATTATGCAGCAGGCTGGCCTGGAACTCCCTACATACTAGGCTGGTCTCCAACTCAGAAATCCACCTGTTACTGCCTTCCGAATACTGGTACTGAAAGCGCTCACCATCTTACCCACTGTTTTGTATTTTTGAGACAATCTGATGCAGCCCAAGCTGACCTCAAACTACTTGATCCTCCTGCTTCAGCCTCCCGAGCACTGAGATGAAAGGCGTGCACCACTACATTGAGCCTGGTTCTTAGTCAGCTGAGATGGCAAGCAAACCACATCCTCATGAATATTCACGATGCGGGCCCATCTAGCGCCTGCAGGAGGCCGCCCCGCCCCGCCCGCGAGCACTCACCCCGCGTGCCGCGGCCCCGGCCCGGCAGCCGCTGCCTCTGGCTCTGCTAGGAGCCCCGGCTGCCATCAACAAGAGCACTACCAGCCGGGTCAGCCCGGCACCTGCAGCATCCATACCGAGACGCTGAGAAGAGCCGAGCGCCGTAAAGCACGCTGGGAGTCTCAGAGCACATCCCAAGGCTTGTGCGCCTGCGCGCCTGCCGCGCCTGCGCACTAGCACTCACGAGCCTGCCGCTAGTTAGGGAGGCCATTTCTCCATCCGGGTCTCCAGAGCTCACCTCCGGCCTGAGGAGGTGACGTCCGTGACGTCATCGAACGCGGGGCGCTATTGTGATGTCATAGGTGCTAGGGCCGGCCCTTAGCATTCTGGCCTTGGTTCCACCCTGCGTTCCCACACAGGGCCGGGGCGTGGCGATGAAGGGCGGGCGCGATCTTAAATCGGGCCGCCGCGGAACAGGTGAGAGCGGTTCTGAGGGGATGGTAGGTGAGAGGAGGAGCTCTGCCCGAAGGGCTTGGCCCTGGTGAGGGAGCCAGGGACGGCATGGGCCCGGCAATGCGGAGGCCTCTGCCTCGCGTGCGCCCCCTGTCGGGGGACTCGTACCTGTCCTCCTGGGGTGGATGCCATCCATTCGCTCCTGCAGACCGCCCCCTGTTTCCAGCCTATGCCCCGTGCCGCCCTGGGCGCCTCCAGCGCCACCTCCTGAGCGGCGAGTTCGATCAGCTGCGTGACTTACCCATCTTTGAAAGCAACTTCGTGCAGGTGTGGAGCCCCGACCTCCGCCCACTTGATGTCTGGAACCCCTGTTCTGCGAGCTGTGGCTGGGCCCTGTCGAGCTCCGTGTTCCACGTAACCTCTGAGCCCTCTCACCTCATATCGCCAATCCTTTGACCTGTTTGTGGCTTCACAAGCCTTGGTCTCAGTTTCCTTGACTGCACACACATAAGGTTCTTTAGTCCTAAAATATCCGGCCCACAACTTACTTTTTTCTTTTTTTCTTTTTAGTGGTACTGTGGGTGGTACCCAGAGCCTCACTCCTGCTTGGCAGGGGCTCTACCCAGTAGCAGCAGCCCCGGCCCCGCACTGGGGGATTCTAAGCAGGTGCTATGGAATGAGCCACATTCGAAACCCCCTACCTGCTCTTCAACTCCCCTAGTTCAAGATTACCAATACCCATCAGAACCCTGTTCAATTTTTTTCTCCATCTGTCTTGCCTTAACCTCTGGCCCCAGGTGACCCGGTTTGGAGAAGTCGCCAACAAGGTCACCATGGGGGTGGCAGCCTCTAGTCCAGCTCTGGAGCTGCCAGACCTGCTGTTGCTGGCCGGCCCCGACAAGGAGAGTGGATGCCTGCAGCTCCTCGGGTGACTGCCCCTCCTGGTCCCAGCCTCCTCCAACCTTTCTGCCCCCCGGGGGGACCAAGAGCACCACCAGTGCTTTTCAGAAAGATGACAGGGCAGATCACAGAGGTCAGAAGTCAAGCAAAGTGAGGGAGGACAGTCCTCAGTGACACCCAGGGTCACAGCGGTGACTGTTTTACACAATGCTGCCTGCTTTCCAGGTGCTCCTCTGTACTAGAGAGTTAAGGCTCAGAGACCGGGCCCATGGCCCAGGGTCCCACAGAGGGTCAGGAGGTGGGACGAGAACCTGAGATTCCTCACAATCCAGATCTAACAGTACTCAAGTTCAAGTCCACTGTTTCGCTCTCTTCCCCTCATTGAAAAACTTGTGGAAATCAGTACCACCACGCACAAACCTCACACAGAGCACTCCTTCTCCCTGCTTCATTTGCGAACGGGAGACACTTACATGCTTGTAGTGCGTGTGCGTACTCAGGGATTCTGGGAGGATTTGAATCCTTTCCCATCCTGTCTCAGTCCATGAAAGACAGGAGAAAAATTTTGAAGACAAAGACAAATGGTGCAGGCCTGTCATCCCAGCAACTTGGGAAGCTTGAACAAAAAAATGGTTTCCCTTAGTGAGACCCTGTCTTAAGATGAAAAGCCAAAGGGGGCTCTGGTGGGATGACATGACGCAGTAAGGTGTTTGCAGGGAAAGCATGAGCATCAGTCTGAATTCCCAACAGCCATGTCGCAGACCAGGTACCGTGGTAATCCTAGTGCTGGGAGACACAAGGACAAAGACGAGCTCCGGTCCTTGGAGCTTGCTGACAGCCAGTCTTCCCAATCATCTGGCCCCAGGTTAAGTGAGACACTGTCTCAAAAGCCGAGCTTGAGAATGATAGATAACATTAACCCATGATCACCACATGCAAGTCTTTTAAAGAGGGCTTGAGATATGTGTGTGTATATATATATATAATTTAATTAAATTATATATATATAATATTAAATTATATATATATTTAATTTGCCTAGCATACACAAGGAAGGAAGGAAAGAATGGAAAGATTTCAGCTGGGCATGGTGGCTCACATTAATCACAGCACTTGAGAAGCAGAGGCAGGCAAGTCTCTTAGTTCAGGGACAGCCTGGTCTACAAGTTTGTCAGCCAAGCTATATGTGACTGTCAAAAAAAAGAGAGAGAGAAAGAATTTTCACCCAATTATCTTCTTACATAAGTGGAAAACTTTGCTCAGTTCTCTGCCGTGGTCTGATGCACTGTTTCCAACAACGGGCTTTGAATATTAAGTGCAAGCTTGGGGGTCCCTCTGACCCTGTCTTCCCCTGCCCGCAGCCAATAAAGTAGTTCAAAACCGTGATCCCAACACTCAGAAAATGGAGGCAGGAGAATCAGAAATTCAGGGCCAGGCTCAGTGATACAGCCAGTTCTAGGTCAGTCTGGGCTACTGAGAACTTGTCAACAAAACAAACGCTGTAGGTGATCAGCCCCACCCCCGCTCTGGCCTCCTCCCGGATCCAGGCTGAGCCAGCATACTTTGTAGCTGGGACGTTCTTGAACAAGTCCGCCATCCCAGACCTTGAGCTCAAACCCTGCCTCCATTGCCGCCTCTCTTCTACGCCTCGATCCCGTTACCTGGAACATGCACTGAACTGACAGTCCTTCCTGTTTGTGTTTCATGGAGCACCTGGCACAGCAGGAGCAGTGTGTAACTGTCAAGAGCTGGCACACTTAGAGGACATCCATTGTCCACTGAGGGGCACGGGTTTTGTTCACTGACTGGACCAGAGTGCAAAGAGAGGAGGTTGAAGCAGTGGTCTGGTGGCTGGCCACCACAGGGCACATGCAGAAGTGGAGTCCCCGAGGGGAGCACCACAGGAAAGAGGCCCTGGCTGAGCTACCCCATCTCCCATCAGGCTGTTCCCCTTGCAATTCGTGCAGCTGTTTGTGCATGATGAGAGCCGACAGCAGCTCAAGGTCAAGTTCCGCACAGGCCGTGCCTTCTACCTGCAGCTGCTAGCACCACCAGAGACCCTGGACCTTGAGTTCGGCCGCTGGGTGAGATTGCTTTACCGTCTGCGCTTCCACTCGCCCGCCTGTGCGGTACCCTTCACCCATGAGGACACGGCACCTGAGGATGAGGAGGAGGAGGAGGACGACTATGAGGAGGAAGCCAAGGAGGGGCAGTTTCGGCCTCCAGAGGTGAGGGCGGGACAGCGAGCCCTGGGATGTTGGGCCAGGAAATATGGAAAGGGACCAGGTAGGCCTGCTGGATCCTGGACGCCTGGGACTGAGGGAGAAAGGAAGGTTGGGGCCTGGACCTCTGGGTCTGAGGAAGCAGAACCAGACTTGTATCCCTGGACCTGAGGAGACCCATTCCTCCTGCTTCTTAGGGGTTCTAAGAAGGCTATAGTGTCTGCAGCAGAGGAGGAATGGTATGGCTTGGTATTCCTAGCCCAAGTGCCTCTAGGCTCCTAAGAGAGAGCACACAGCCCTCCCTAGCCTCTACTTGACAACATGGGTTCTAGGGAGGGAAGCCTACTCATTGAAGAGATGGTCTCTGCCTGGCCACACATGCCCAGTTCCCAGAAAGGGGAAGAGGAGAGGACAGTTCTGGAACATGGGGACTGTTCCAAGACATCCACAGCCCCACCTATCCCAAACTCAGCCCCTCATGCTGGTCAGGTTCTCAGGTGCTCGCTCTCCTTCTTAGCTTCAAGGCATAGAGGCCAGACTGGACCCGCAGGTCTCAGAACTCTGGGGCCTCTGATTCACAAAAGATCCTTCCAGATCGCCAAAGGACAAGAGATCAAGACAGCTCAGCTCAGAGCCAGAGAGATGGATTTTTAAAGTTAATAAAGATCAGGCTCTTAAGAACCAACACCCGTCTGCAAGCATAGCGGAGTATCATTATTAGTGCCAGGGGCTGGCTCTCTGCTGTGGGGGGGGTCTCAGGGTGGGCCGATTATTGGTTGGACTTTCCCAATCTTTGTTCTCTCCTTATTCCTGCACTTCTTGTACCAGGGTAATTTTTGGATCACGGGTTTTGTCAGTGGGTTGTCTGCTAGTCCTACCTGGCTAGGAGGTGGTCCCTTCAGTCTTCGTGTCCTCCCACTCCTGTTAGGAGTCTCAGCTAGAGTCACAGCCACGTCCTCCCAACAGGCTGCCCTGTTGCAGGCCTCCAGCTTCACAAAGAGATGTCCCCTTTTGGTTTCCCGTCCTGTTCCTAGCCCGCTCACCTCCCACCTTCCATTCTCTGCACATCTGATCCCCACCCCTCTTTCCCTCCCCATTCTATCTCCTGTCCAGTAGTCTGGGCAGCTCCAGCCAGCAGCGGATCAGATGTTGGGACTTGCAGCCAAGCATGGGACAGAGCTCCAGGGGTCCTGTGGAAGTGTTGGGGGAAAGATGGAAGGACCTGGAGGGGACACGGACCTCACAAGAAGACCAACAGAGACAACTAACCCAGACCCATGGGGGCTTACAGAGACTGAGACATCAGCTAAGGAGCACGCATGGTCTGGACCTAGGCCCCTGCACATAGCTGATGGGCTGCTTGGTCTTCATATGGGGCGCCTGGCGAGTGGAGGGGGACTGTTTCTAACATGGACTCTGTTGCCTGCTTCTGGATCACTTCCTCCTGGCAGGGCTACCTTGCCTGGCCTCACAGGATGAAGATATGCTCAGTCCTGATGTAATGTGATGTGATGTGCTGGGGAAGGTTGATACAGGGGGAGCTCTCCTTTTCTGGGGGAAAAGGGAGAGGGGAAGAAAGAAGGGGGAAAGGAGGCCTGGGAGGAGAGGAGGGAGGGGATACCCTTGAGATGTAAAATAAATTTAAAAAATAAAATAGTTTAAAATTTTTAGAAAAGGAAAAATAAGAACCAACACCCAAGTCCTGGCTCTTTATGCCACAATCAGTAAGAACAAGCTGCTTCCAGGTCTTCCCCTAGCCCTCTGTGCCCTTGGTGCCCTGGCAGCCACTATTTCTGAGGCTTTTCCAATTGGCTCTCTTCTTTTCCCTCTGCTGGAGATGAAATCCAGAGCCTTCCACATTCTGGGAGCATGAGCTTCACCTTTGACTCTTGTAAACACCATGGCAAAGCAGTTCCCTCAGCAGATGCCATTGTCTGAGATGCTGCCATAATGGGATCCGATCTTTAAGGCTGCCTTGTGGTGGTGGCCATCCCTAGCCCAGAGTGACTAATCCCACCCACAAGGAGACAAGAAGCACAGATTCTGGAAGGACAGACACATGATAGTTTGAACAACAGCATTTTATCACATTAATCATTCCAGAGGGATGGCTGCCATCCCAGGGGTTGCGAGACTGGTGTCCGGGCTCTGGTGACGTTTCTAACAGATGGGGAGCTATCACTGCGGCACTGCAGGAGAAATGAGAGATGGGTGAGGCTGAAGGAGGTGGGCTGCCCCATATCTCTACCTAAGACCCTGGAGCAAGAGAGTTCCCATCCAGCAACTGTCCCTGAACACCTGTGGAGTCACTATGCTCATCTCTCTCCCTCAGCAGGGCTGCATGTAGCCCCAGCTGTTCTTGAACTCAAGCAGCTGAGGATGTCCTTGAACTCTTGATCCATCCTTCTGCTTCCACCTCCCAAGAGCTGGGATAACAGACTATACCTGGTTTACAGAGTGCTGAGGACTGAATCCAGGCTTTATGCTAGATAAGCAATCTACCCATAAGCCACTTCTCCAGCCCCACATCTTTTTTCTTTTCTCTGTTCTGAGAAAGGGTCTCATGGCATCTGACTTTCCATTGTTGTTATGGCTGGCCTCCAGTTCTTGATGCCTTTGCTTCAAGCCCCTCAAAGTGAGGGCTACAATTGTACTTTGCCATGCCTGGCCCTTTTATTTTGTAGTTTTGTTTTTAAATTTATTCTATGTGTGTTTGCCTGCTTGAGCTTATGTGCACCGTGTGCATGCAGGAGCCCATGGCTCCATGGAGCCCCTGGAACTGGAGCCTGCAAATGGTGGTAAGCCACCCTGTGAGTACTGAGAACTGAACTCAGGTGCCCTGGAAGAGCAGCCAGCGCACTCAACCCCTGAGCCATCTCTCCAGCTCTTGTTTCTATATTTTATACTATTTTGACAGGACCATACTATGTAACTCAGGCTGACTTAGAAGTTGGCTTCTAACAGCAGAGGTTGGCTTCAAATGCACAATTCTCCTGCCTCAGCTTCCTGAGTGCGGAAATGACAGTTTGATGTCATTTTAAATCCTAAATGGGAGCGGGGTGTTCCGAGAAACTACCAGCTGTCAGAAGTTAGGGGGAATCTGCAGTGGGGATACTTAGTCACCCACAAAGAAGACTGCAGAATAGACAATGGATCAGCCTGAATCCAGAATGCAGCCGCTGGGCACAGAGGGGAGCTCCTCCTAAGAACCCTCCTTGAGGGGCTGAAGTCCCTGTCTACTAAACTGTCACAGGGCCAGGGACATTAGCATTGTCAACTGTCTCCAGATGAAGCAGGGACAGACTATGCTAATCTGTGCCCTGGAGACCTGAGCTGCCTCCTTCAGCAGGGTCTTGTGGACTGAAGCCACTGAAGGTGACGGAGAGGTTTCCCAGAGGATGATCAGCTTGTGCCTGGGCCCAGCATGGGGATGAAATGGACTCACTGCTGTGGGTGTTTTGGCTTAGGATAAGTAAACCTGCTTTTGTTAAAATTCCAAATTGGGGATTTTAGCTTGTCCACACCTGTTAAGTGTCTCATGCGGAACATGGTCTTTGCCAGGTAGAATTAGTTGAATCCTGAGGACTTTGAGGGGGATAAATATGACAGCCCAGTGAAAAAAGGCACAGCTGCTTGGAGGAGGACTGCCTGCTGCTCGTTCGCCCTGCTGCTGCATTTCCTGTTTGCTGATTTGCTGGTCACCTGGACTTCGGGATTTCTAGATGACTGACATTGGTGTTGCCCCCAAAAGAATTCTGTGATCCTACCCAGCAGGAAGTAGCAGAGAGAACTCCGCCCCTGTCCCCACTAACTTTCTTTCCCTTTTAGCCAGTGTTGAGGGGTTGGTAGGGAGGTAGAAGCATTTAGTAACCCTAAATAAAGAAGGTTTGTTTAAAAAAAAATCAAGGTCAACAGGTCACTGTGGCCCCAAACGGCATAGAATGGCTGGAAATGGGAGGGCCCAGACTGGAGTTAGGGACAGGACTGAGATACAGAACACTGAATTCCAGGCTGAAGAGACTGTGGTAGTGGTGGGTCTGAGGAATGGGGGAAGGGCATAGCAACTCTGATCCAGAGGCAAAGGGCAGAGGAGGCTTGACGGAGGATTTGAGAGGCAGACGTTGAAGCCTTAGCAGGGGTTGGTACCCTCCAGCCCACTGCCTTTGCGTGTGGGTCCCCTTCTTGCCTGGGGCATCTGGGTAGGTTAGCCAAGGGCCCTGGATGAGGGTCAGTCAGCGGGGCACCCCCCTCACCTCGGACATCCAGCTTGCACTCAGCCAGGGCCTCCCCCAGTTCATTGAAGGCACGGCAGGAATAGGTCCCTGCATCGAAGGGCGAAGGGCGGCGAATGTTCAGCGTCAGGATGCCCTGATAGTTGGTTATGAGGAATTTGGGATCTTCATGGATTTCCATCTTATTCTTCATCCACACCACCTTCGGCTAGAGAAGGGAACCAGAGAGGAAGCTGATTTAGAAGGATGTCCTGGGTAGAAGCCATGCCACTACCTGGTTGGATGGTTTCAAATAGTCGCTTTACAATCTAACCCCCGGTTTCTTCTGTTCAAACAAATACATGATGCCTAGTGCACAGAAGAGACAGGGGACCTCCTTGTTCTCAGAATAAAGATTGCTCCATAGGGACCCCAGTGTGGCTGCCAGTCACCTCTTAGGCAAGAATGTCTACTGTCTCAGAACTGCCTATATTTCTCTGTCATGCTTATCATCATTCATATTTTGTATTATCTGTGAAACGTTAGATCAGTGTCATTCTTCCCCCAACACAAAGGAACTTCTTTGTCCCATTTGTGAAGCACAAAGTCGAGGAAAATATTTGTGGGATGAATCGAGTAACACAGCAAAGGGAATGAATGAATGAGCTGAGATTAAAAAGAAAAAAACAAAAACAACGAATAGATTGGCACATGGTTAAATGAAATGGTGGACAGATTTATGGATGAATGAGTAATGCCCAGGTCTGGAGCACACCTATAATCCCCCACTCAGGAGGTGGACGAGAAGGATCTTGAGCTCAAGGCCATCCTAGGCTGCATGAACCCTTGTCAAATCAAAAAGAAAATGGCTCTGTGGTTAAAAGCGCTTGCTGCTTTTGCAGAGGACATGGGTTCAGTCCTCAGCACCATGTCAGACAGCTCATAACTGCCTGTAATTCCAGCTCCAGGGAATCCAGCACCCTCTTACAGCCTACAGGAGTACTGCACACACAAGGTGCACAGACAAAAAGAGCTTAAGATTTAAAAAAACAAAAACAAAAAACCCTCATGACTGGGTGGCTCAGGAAAACTTCAGAGAGCTGTGAAGGTGTAGACACCCCCCCCAAAGGTTTCTCAGGGAAGTGGGCTTCATGGATTAGCTATGCCTGGCAGTCATGAGGTAGAGAAAGGGCAGGAAGGTCAGAATTGTCCGAGACTTGGCTTCTTCATGAGGAGACTGCAGGAAGGAACCGCCGGAATGGTGGGTCTGGGGGGTCCTGTGCTGCAGAAGCCTTCAGGGGAGCCCCCCGGGGTACCTTCGGGTGGCCTCTGACGGCACAGTTGAGAGCTGCAGAATATCCTGCCACCACTACCCGGTCTATGAGCGGAGTCAGGAACTTGGGGGCTGTTCGGAAATCATGCTCCTTGTATTCCAGTGGTTTCAAGGTGATTCCTGGAGAATGAAGGACGCCCATGACGTGAGTCCCACCCCCACCCCAGCCAGGGGCCAGCAGCCAGGAGTTAGAGCTCAAGGCCGGGTAGCTGGGCCCTGCACCTGTCTTGAGGATGCGAGCTGTGTTCTTGGAGACACCAGGGGAGTCACTGAGGCCACAGATGTTCTCGCTGAAGACGCGGAAGTAGTACTCATTACCCACAATGAGGTCGGACACCGTGCAGCTGGTGGGGCGATTGTGTTCGTAGACATTGAACCACTCCTGGGATGGGGAGGAGGGAGGACCAGGAAAGGCAAGCACGTGGAGGGCACATGGGCACAGACGTTAGGAGGGGCAGTGTAGACCAAACAGCCCGTCGTTAGCCTGCCCACACTCACTCCCAAGCGCCCAGTCTCCTAGCCTCCCCTTCTCAGCTGTGAGCTAGAAAACTCAGCTCCGCTCTGGCAAGGCCACACGCGTTGCCCCCAAGGCCCCTCTGTCCCCTCACCATGGTCTTCTTGTCAGCCTTCTGGACAAAGTAGCCTGTGATCTCGCTGTTCCCGTCATCCTTGGGCGGCTGCCACTCCACCAGCGCGTTGGTGCCCCACACCTCCTTCACCATCACGTTCTCTGCTGGCCCTGCCTTTTCTGGAAGGAAGGTTAGGGGTCACACGCCACCGAGGGGCCCTGATGCCTGGCTCTGCCCCTCCCTTTTTCTCCTGGTTTGTTTGTTTGTTTGTTTTTGTTTTTTTCCCCTCTTTGGCAGTCTCATCCCATTAGATATCCCATTATATAACCCATTATATAGACATTAAACTGCTCTTGCTACTGCTACCCTCGAGTGCTGTCCACCACCACACTGTTTACCCCGTGCCGGGCATGGGTCCTAGGGTCTCGTGTGTTAGGCAAACACAGTGCCAGCGGAGCCCCTGCCCCAGCTTTCACTCTTCCT